AAGACAAAATCTACAAGAGTTCTATTTGGTCAGAGATAAATTTTATAACAGAACTCTCAATTATTGCATTTTTAAAATGTAACCAAGTTTCCTAAAGGTATAGGCACTCTTCCTCAAGATAAATAGGTAACTTCTTGTTCTACTTACTTGAGAATAGCATAATGGGTCGCTGGTGCCTACCTCTATTCAGGAAGCGTTCTAGAAAGAGCTACTCTGTTCTCTCTCCTAGGTTTCATGTGGCCCTTTAGTTTCTTTCTGTTGTTTTTCTCTCTCCCTCTCTTTCTCTATCTCATATTTTTACGCTCTATCTCCATACCACATACAGAACCAACATGCTGATATAAATATAATTATTTCAATTCACAATGGAGGGGTAGGCTGAGGCCTTGAGCTTAGTCCACATCTCCACTCATCTTTCCCAATGCCATTTCAAACCCAGTCAAGGCCATGGTGAAGTGAATGCTACTTGTACATAACAAATAATGGTAGTGTGTTGGATTTTAACCCATAGAACTCCACAAATACACTCTACTGATACAATAAAATAAATATGAAAATCAGGAAGTAGAGGCAGTAGAATTTCAATAAATATAGAAGGAAAGAAGGAATCTAGAATCGCGTAGGCAAATGCCACAAGAATAAATGATGTAGACATGATCCACAAATTAAAGTGTGAGAGTTAGAAAAGAAACGAGATTTGCATAATCTCAAAGTATCTCACCTAAGATATTTGTCAACATCAAAGGGAAAGATACTAACTTTGCAATGGAAAAACTTGGCAGACACAAGCGTAACCAAGTGACTGAGGTAAGCATCACCAGTAATAAAAAATGTCAACACCATGAAGCCCTGGATATTTTCTGCTGAGAAGGATGCCACCATGTTATTTTTGTGGCATTCTTGGAAAAAAAATACATAACCTCATTTCAAAAATAAGAAAATATTGCACAAACCCAAATCTTGGGGCATTCTTCAAAATAACTGATCATTACTCTTTAGAAGTGTGAAGGTCATGAAAGACAAGGAAAGACTAAGGAACTGTTACAGACTGAAAGCAACTAAGGAGATATAACAACTAGATGGCAACGTAGGAGCTTGAATTGGACTATTTTAAAAAAATAAAAAGAAAAAAGAAACATTACTAGGAGCAATGGCTCACACCTGTAATCCCAGCTACTCCAGAGGCTGAAGCAAGAAGATTGATTGAGCCCAGGAGTTTGAAACTAACATGAGTTATAATCATGCCACTACACTCCAACCTGTTCAACAGGACAAGACCTTGTCTTGAAGATGAAGAAGAAGAAGAAGAAGAAAGAGGAAGAAGAAGAAGGAGGAGGAGGAGGAGGAGGAGGCAGAGGAAGAGGAGGAAGGAGGAGGAGGAGGAGGGAGGAGGAGGAGGAAGAGAGGAGAGGAGATGAAGGAGAAGAAGGAGAATTGGTGAATTTTGAAAAAACTGTAATTTAGTTAATAATGTCATACCAATATAAATTTCCTGGTTTTGATCATTGCACTACACTCTGTAAGATATTAATATTGTTAACTTTAGGGCAAACGGGATAAGGTATATAAAATAACGGTTTGTACTCTTTCAATAAGTTTTCTCTAAGTCGAAAATTAGTTTAAAATAGAACATTCGTTAAAAAAGAAGAAGAAGAAGAAGAAAGCACGCTGCTATGATTTCCCTTCCACTCTTGTACCTTGCATGTGTTTTCCAGAAGTATGATGCACCTGGTCTGGTACTAATAAAATAACAAGCAAACTCAATGCTGATTATTTTTAGAATTCATAACAAAAATAAACAGTAAAGAATGTCAAAAGAGTCATTCAAATTGTTGACCCAAACTATAATTAATAAATGTCATGCAACATAGTGAAGCTCCATCTCTACAAAACTAAAAAATTAGCCAGGGATGGTGGCACATAAAAAATTAGTCATGGATGGACCTATAGTCCCAGCTACTCAGGAGGCTGAGCTGGGAAGGCCACTGGACCCCAAGAGTTCAAGACCAGCGTGGACAGCATGGCAAGTCTCAAAAAAAACAAAAACACACACAGTATAGATAGGTAAAAAGACATTTTAAATAGTACATAGGGACAATATGTATGTGAACAGCAAAGAAAATTCTAATCACAATTTGTACATCTATACAATATGCAATCTAGCCAAGGAGGCTTACGCATACAAACCTGGTGAGTTTTAAAATAAATAGCAGGCTGGGCACGGTGGCTCATGCCTGTAATTCCAGCACTTTGAGAGGCCAAGGTGGGCAAATCACTTGAGGTCAGGAGTTCAAGACCAGACTGGCCAACATGGTGAAAACCCATCCCTAGCAAAAATACAAAAATTAGCTGGGTGTGATGGTGGGCGCCTGTAATCGCAGCCAGTCAGGAGGCTGAGGCATGAGAATCACTTGAACTTGGGGGGCAGAGGTTGCAGTGAGCCAAGATCACACCACTGCACTCCAGCCTGGGCGACAGAGTGAGATTCCGTTTAAAAAAAAAAAAAAAAAAAAAAAGAATAGCAGAACTCATCTCTTGATACACTGTAAAATGTCTTTCAAACATCTCACCTCCTCCTGTACCATTACCCATTCTCTTCCACTTCTACAGCACTAGGCAAGTCATTTTGAAAAAGAAAAAAAAAAAAAAAACCTTTCCCTACTTCCCAATATTTTTTAGGTTGAAAACACAAAGTTAGATTTTATATTTTTTAGTGAAGGTAGCACATAAAACTCTTATTTCTGCCAATTGAGTCTCTTAAGATAGAAGCCTGATTCTGATGAGCAGATTTGTCAATTTTACCCTGAAGAAAAAGTACTAAGGCACCGTACCCATGACTTATGCCACCTTACAACCAAACAGTGGGAAATATGATTGCTATTTATCATCAACTACTATGTCTTAGGTACTGAACATAATAATGGTGAACATTAACTGAAGGTTCTCTCTGAGTCAGACACAGAGCTAACTGCTTCACAGAGATCTTCCTGTTTAATCTTTACAACCATTCCATTTCCAAGAAGAAGGTTCTAGAATTATCCTCAAATTGGAAGAAGAAACTGAGGCATAGAATGGTTAAATAATCTGGCTGAGAACCCTGATGAGTAAGAAGCAGAACCAATTATTTATCCCAAGTGTGCCCAATGCCATAGACCCTCATGCAATCTATTGGAAAGCCCAACAATATAGTCAGTGATTTTCCTGGGGCAGAAATGTGACCCTTGACTTCCCAGACCTCATCAATTATAGGCAAAATTAGGAATTACTATTATAAATGTGCTCTACCCTAGTCCCCGTCCGATTTTGTTCTAAGTAGTAAATGTGATCAGTTAGAAACAGCCATGGGTAACTTGAGCTAAAAAAAAAAAAAAAAAAAAAGACAAAACTCTGTGTTCTGGTGGCACATCTTTCCTATGTGAAGAGACCAGGAGAACATATCTGGTGGCATAAGCCCTCTGGGACTCAGATATCTCCACTTGCTGGGAAAGAAAGCTAGATCGCAGGCCTCCCAGGGATATCTCAGGAGGCACGCTGTAGGGAAGCAAACTGAATGTAGGGGAAAGGAAACATTTCAGGCAAAAAGCCTTAATTCTATTTATCTTTCACTGAGTGTCCAGCCTGCACACTCCTGCACTCCATTCCTGCACTCCCATGGTGTTGTCTAGGATGTGAAGAGTTTGAGTAACTTGTTCAGGATACACGGTTGGGTAAGTAGCAGAGCAAGTACCCCAAAAGCTTTCTATTCTCTGGTCTGTTGTTCTAATGACTGTGTTGTGCTGTCCCTTAGCTGAGGCTGACAACCTCATGGGAAAGAAGAATGGGTTGTTTAGGAGCCACCCTGCCATAAACAAGTCCCATTATGCCTCAAACTTCAGTTTATACTCCCTCTCCTTGCTCCATAACAAGAACATAATAATCTCTCCATCCAAAGGCTTGCAGAGATTAAATAAAGTTATTGTGCATTAGTGTGGTAAATAACATAGAACACGTTTATAGCAAAAGAGCCTCAAATTGATATTCAGACTCCAGGAGATCTAAATATCTCTCATTTTTCTTCTACTTGGAGAAAGTTAAAAAGAATGGGCATTGGCACTTTGGGAGGCCAAGGCAAGTGGATCACGAGGTCAGGAGATCGAGACCATCCTGGCTAACACGGTGAAACCCCGTCTCTACTAAAAACACAAAAAATTAGCCGGGCGTGGTGACAGGCGCGTGTAGTCCCAGCTACTGGGGAGGCTGAGGCAGGAGAATGGCGTGAACCCGGGAGGCGGAGCTTGCAGTGAGCTGACATCACCCCACTGCACTCCAGCCTGGGGGACAGAACCAGACTCTGTCTCAAAAAAAAAAAAAAAAAGAATGGGAATAAAAAGATAAGGAGGAGAAAGAGAATAGATGGTGGGGAAAATAGCAAGAGAAAAGGAAGAAGAAAAATCAGCGCACTGGCTAAGGAAATCCTGACCAACTGAAGTTCTTTAACACTGTCATTCTCCTTCTCCATATTCATTAGCCTTTTCTCTCCTTCCTGGAGTGAACCTAAAACCAGCCCCTTGGGAGTTCTAAGAATCATGTTCAATAAAACATGTTGGAGATGATAGGTTAGCAAAAGTATTAAACATATGGTTTATACTTTGACAATCTATGGTTTTAAGAAAGAGAAATGGGCAGGAACCAGGGTTACTTGAAGACAGAATACATAGCAGCACTGTGGCTGCTTTGCACACAGTGTTGGTGAAATGCTGTGTCAGTTAGAGTGCTCAGCTACAAAGAACAAAACCTGATTCTGGGGGATTTAGGTAGAAAACGAATTTATGAAAAGGTTTTTGAGATCGTAGTATGGCCAGGAGGCTGGACAACCAGAGTTCGAAAATGAACAGGAACAAAAGATGGCAGACCTCATCATTGCCATCAGAAGTCTGGTAAGAGCCCTGCTGCCCAAGAATCCACATGAGCTTAGCAAGGTAGATTTAGAGATCAGTGAAGGTAGAATATTGAGTTCAGACCTGTTTCCAGCTTCAACTCCTTTGGCTCAGGTTGGAACCAAAAATGACAGTGACCACCGACGTAAGGCCTTCTGTTCTCTAAAACACAAGGTACGATGCTCCAGTGGTGGAGTCAGAAGTTCTGAGTTCTAGGAGTGTCTTGATCACTAAGTAGTTGGCTTGGGAATCACTTAACCTTCTTCCAAGTTCTGCATTTGCCAGTGGGAGGTAGTCATCCCCAACCTGTTCCTGCCCAGGGCTGCTGTGAGAAGCAAGCAGAAAAGGATGTAAGTGGTCTCAAAACGCTTATATCCCCGTGAAATGCTAAGAAGCCTTTTCATGACCATTAATTTTTAATTATTACTGGAAGGTGACATAGCACATGTAGAAAGCAGTGATATACGTCCAAAGATATATCACTCTAGAGTCAAACACTGGCTCCACCTCTTGTCACGTTTGCGGCCTTTGAAAAGCCTTGTTGACTGTCTTGGCCACAGTTTTCAGATGGGAATAATGTTGTCTATCCCAAAAATTGGTGTAAAAATCAGAGGAGATACCACATGCAATGCAGAATTCCTGGAACTCAAAGAAATGGTAGCTAGGAATAATCACAATAAGCACCAGTAGTAATAAGAGTCGTGGATCACACCTCCTCTTCCCCTAACTAACCTTCTCATCATCTATAACAATTAATCATGTATGATTTGATAATCCCTCTTAAATTATTATTTGGAACTGATAATTAAAATTTTATTTACATTTTGTCACTGTTGTTCATTTGCCATCTCTAGAGGTCTATTTAATTGAACTTGTTTTAACCCCAGCCAAGAAAGCTAAAAGTCCTTTAAAAATCCCTGCCTTTCTGTGTGTCATTTTCAGCAAGGAAGGGGTTACTGGGGATTCGGAGCATTTGCTGAAACACAAGGCATCCGACCTTGTCAGGAGCCCTCGGGCTTTTGCCAGCACTCTGCTTTTTTTTTCAGCACACAGCCCTCAGTGGAAAAATACTGCCCAGACTCTGTGAATTATTAATCTCATCATGACATCAAATACCCACTAGATAAAAAGAACGAGTGGCCCCCACAATGAGGATCTTAGGGAAAACCAGAAGCTGAAGGTAGTTGACCACAATCAGAATTTTTCCTGCTCCCCTCTGAGGTGGGAGACAATCTCATTCATTCTCAGCACCCCATACACAGAACTCTCAAGAGGTATCAATTTAAAATGCTTCTGTTTGGAGGGGCTCAGGGAGCTGATAGAGAAGAAAAGCCTTTAAATTACTCTCAGTTGATGATGCCATACTAACTTTAAATGAGTTTGTGTTTCGAGTTCATGAGAACTGGGGTACAAGAAGGAGTTCAAGGTCTTGGAGTTTTCTGTTTTCCCTTCATGGACCAGGCAAGGAATCTGGCTAGATCAAAATCTACTGGAGGGTAGGAAATTATTGACACATGGAAAATTCCAGTTGTAAAAGATCCATAGGAAATACATCTGTCATATTCCACATTACTTGACAAGGCTTTGAACCAAATTTTTAGTAAGGCTAACCTCTGAAAGAATAGATTTATTTTTAAGTCAGAGAGAGAAAATGACAGGATAGGAAGATCATTGCTCAAGAGATTCAAGCTCTAGAGCTTGGAGATTTCATTCAAAAAGCACTTGCTAAACACAGGTGTGCTGGAGTATACACACATATCCACCAGTGAAAAACCATCTACCATTTCTGCAATACCCAGTATCTGTCAGGCGCCCGGCCAGGTGGTTTACTCATCATATCTAATTTACCCTCACTACAACCAAAGGATATATAGTTTTAGGCCTGTTTTGCTTTTTTTTTTTTTTTTTTTTTGACATTGATAAGACACTGATAAGGTATGCATTGACTAAGGCCACAAGAGTTGAAATTCAAACCCAGATTTGTCTGGATTTAAATCCCTTAAGAAACATGTTATTGAGCAGCAGAGCACAATGAGCAAACAGCTAATGCCAATGGAACACACATGTGGCAAGACAAAATCTGTAATAGCTGGAGAAGTATCTGTAGCCAAAACATGTAGAAAAGTAACAGGGTGAAAACTGGCTTGTCAGGACAGAAGGGTTTCTCAGGGTGCAAAAATGTTAATGCTAATACCAGGGCATGCCAGGACAAACTGGGACAGTTAGCACCCCACAGGTAAATGAGGGCCAGGTCCTGAAAGAGAATTTGTGTGAAGGTGAGAAGTTTGACCTTCATCCTAGGAAGAAAAAGATGACTGATCTGCACAGAAAGGAGAAGATATTAGGAAGAGAACACTGACTGCTGGGTGAATAGTGGATTAGTGAGAAGAGTGGTTAGGAGGCTTGGAATGAAGAAGAAAGACTGAAAAAGTAGACTAAAGAAGAATGAAGTAAAATAAATTATACATTTCCCAAGTGAAATCTAATCAAGACAGAAGTTTATGTTTTACACTGACTAAATAGACTAAAATATTTTAGCATATAGTGTAGTATCTACCTCGTATAAGTTGAATTGTGTCAACAATAAAAATATGTTGAGATTCTAGTCTCCAGTACCTCAGATGTGACCATTTTTGGAAATTGGGCTGTTGCAGATGTAATTAGTTAAGATGAGATGCCTAGTGCCCTTATAAGAAGATGGCCATGTGAAGACAGAGACACACGGGGAGATCTCTGTGTGACAACGAGAGTAGAGACTGGAGTTAAGCAGCTGCAAAACCAAGAATGCCAATGATTGCCGGCAAACCACCGGAAGCTAGAAAGAGGTAAGGAAAAACCCTCCTACAAGTTTCAGAGGGGCTGTAGCCCTGCCAATGCCTTGATTTAGGACCTCTGGCCTTAAGCACTGTGAGAGATTTCATTTTTGTTGTCTTAAGATGCTCACTTTACGGTACTTTGTTACAGCTGCCCTAGGAAACTAACGCACTAGCCAAACTCTATCTGAACTTGGTTTTATCACAAAGAGACAGGATGGAGCTAGGGCATAATAGGAACACTCTGCTGAGAAACCTCTAGGAAGTAGGCATCAAGCCGAGTGCTTTCTTAGGAGTTTATGGGTGAGCTGTCTCAATCGTCCTCTAATAACCCAGGTCATCAGTAAGAAACAGAGACTCGGAAAGAGGCTGCAGCTCGCCCACTGCTACCCAGCTAGGAAGTGGCGACCCAGGGCTTAGACTCATGTCTCTCTGACTTCAGAAACAGATTATTCGTTTCTCACCCCTTGAATTTCCTAAAAGGAGAGGCAAGGCAGCCAAGGCAGAAGGCCAGATAAAACTGAAAAGCCTGGCAGAGCTCTGAGCAATTCACAAACATGAGAAAACACAACCTTGAGGGCTCTGGGTTGGGGTGGTGAGAGGACAGGTGGAAGAAAGGCTTCTTACCCCACAGCTCTGAGTCACCCAAATGTGATCTGCATCCATATCAGCAGGACTTTCTTCTCATCTTCCCTTTGGGCTCTGCAGCTCAGGGGGAGGCAAAGATCAAGCAATGCTCAGGGAGAGCAGAGAGTAAGGAAATCTTTTCAGAAGCCTCTAGGGCCTTTACTTTCCTAAAGTTAATTACTTTCTGGATGAACATCTGATTAGAAATATCATTTGCAAGCCCCACCTGCCACGGATGTCTCCTGTTTTGAAAGTGAATATTCAAAGACTGTTAAAATCCTAATATATATCTTCATCTCCCATGGAAAACAGAACAGTGATTATTTTGAGCCTCGGGAAGTTGGGATCCAGTCAAGGAATTCATCGTTACCCTTATGCAATCTAGGAGATGGGGAACAGATCGGGTGAGAAATCTCAAAGGAAAACATGCCGCCTGCAAAATTAGCCTGAGTCATTGCTCCAAGTGAAAGGCTGTGTTTAAATCAGGAATAATTCTTTAAATTTCAACCCATGACCCTGACAATGAGGTTGCTGTCTTTGGAAATGAACCAGTATGTTTTTTTCTGTGTGTGGCAGATACACTTGCTGAAATATTCACGATACAGTGGAAAGGCATAGGGTCAGCGGTCAGAAAACAAGGTTCTGGTCTCTCCTGTGTGACTTATGTAAGTCACATTCCTTTCTCAGTCTCAGTTTCCTCATCAGTGAAATGAACTTTTTTATTCTGATGTGATTACCTCTTCCTGGCTACTCCTTCTCTGTTCCTCCCTCCCTCATCCCATTTTTCTTCCTTCTAAACTTCCCACTTCCTATTGCCATGATAATGAAAGAGTATAAGTCGAGTTGATGCATGGGCTTGGACAAGACACTGGAAGGGTCTTTGCAATGCTACACAGAGCTCTAGGTGAGTATATGAAGGAAAAGACAGGAGGTTAAAATTTTGTTATTGCAAACTGTATTCATTCATTTATCCAGTCATTCATTTCACTAGAAACCCATTATGTATCTCAGTCAAGCCCTAGACCTTGAGGCTAAGACAGTAAGAGTAAAATATCATTCCTGTTCACTAGGAACACACAGTCCTAGTAAGAAGAGAGGGAAATAAGTGATTAATAATAACTGGATGTTATATACAAGAAAACACTCAAGGTACAATGGAAGCAGGTATTAGAGGAACTTATCCAGTCATTTTATGTGGTAGAAAGCTTCCCAGAGGAAGTAAATCTGGGGAAGAGAGTAGGACAGATAATATTCTAGAAAGAAGGAACCCAGGACACAGGCAGAAGTTCAGGTAGTTAAGTACATCTGCAGTTCAAAGCTCTAAGAAATGTGGCAGAAGCAGCAAACAGCGTCAAATGACAGAGAGACTCATGGGGGTTGTTTTGTGTGTGTGTTGTCAGTTTTTTGTGACAGGGTCTCACTCTGTCACTCAGGCTGGAGTGTAGTGGCACAAACATCACTCACTGCAGCCTCAGCCTCCTGGGCTCAAGGGATTCCCCCTGACCTCATCCTCCAAAGTAGCTGGGACCACAGGTGAACGCCACCACACCTGACTAAATTTTTTCTTTTTTTAGAGATGGAATCTCACTATGCTGCCCAGGCTGGTCTAAAACTTCTGGGCTCAATGAATCCTCCCATCTCAGCCTCCCAAAGAGCTGGGAGGCATGAGCCACTGCACATGGCTCATAGACCTTGTTAAGAAAACAACTGACTTATCAGTCACGGTCTGCGTGAAGACGGCCGTAACCTCTTTCCTGGTGCTGGCATATCTAACAGTGAGCCCATGGCTCTCATATTCCCATGCCTGAAAGGCATCACTTGTAACAGTAACGAGAGTCATTGTGTGAAGCTCCAGAGAACTTGAAGCAAAGGTTAAAAAGTACAGAAAAGCAGAAACTTTTAATAGCCAGTGCTATTCAATTGGAAGCAACAATAAATTCTCCATGAATGATTGTTCTGCCACTCTCTAGAAAGATAGAATAGTTAGGCAACCTAAGCTTAATTTGTTTTCATGGTAAACCTTAATCTACGTTCAATTTTCCTCCCAATGGACGTCAGTTGAGTCATCTATAAAAGAGCAAACAAGACCAAATTGGTGTTATTTCTGAGCGTTTTCACCAAAAACTTTTTTTTCTTCTCCACTTACCCCACCATGGGTCAAATCTTGTGAAGCTTTCTCTCTGCTAGACAAATTATACTCATCAAATAATAATTGTTTAACTTTATATTTGAGTGTACAAACCAAATAGTGCCGTGATGCAGCTAGATATTTCTGAATATTGAAAACAGCTGTAAGTCGACTATTTAGGGACTCAAGATTGGAAACATCCAGAGAAAATAATCTCCAAGGTCTCCTGCAGCAATGACAGTCTGTGACATCAGAGATTAGAAAGACCAAAAAAAAAGAGTAATTATATCCTTGAAAGATTTCGAACACATGCTCTGAGTAGAGAAAGCAAAGGTGAATGGAAATCTCAGGGAGAAGAAAAAGCCTTTGGAAGGGAGGTAGTTGAGAACAGTCTGGAACTAAAGGGATGCACAGAATAAAGTGGGTGAAGCTTGGGATGCACAAATGTGCAGGTCTGGCTTAGAAATAGACTTTGATTACAGACATGTGCTTTAGCACTCTCAGACTCCTTTCGTTTTCTGTATATTTGATGAATGACCCTCAGCTTTAAAGCACTGTTGCAACAATTAAGAGAAATATTTTATGTAAAGCAACTAACTATGCCTTGCACACAGTAGGTTTGCAAAAAATAGTAGTAAACATGAGAATGACAATGATGCTTTAATCAAGATGTTCAGATACCAGGAGCACTTTAATTTGTTTACTGTGCGAAAATATGCCAGCCTTTATTGCTCTAGTGACAGTTAGATGACTTTAGAAGCAGCCTAGGGATAGTGTGTCATTGTCATTGTAGATAATAAAAGCAAAATTGAGAGGAGAATTAACGAGGAAAGCAGACAAATCCAAAATGCTAGGCCATCATCCGTCTGGACTGCATCAATGCAGGGAATAAAGGGATGACGTAAGTGTTTATTTCTAACTCTCTCTCTCTCTCTCTCTCTCTGAGAATGCTGAGTGTTTTCAGTCTGGCTTTTGCTTTCAGAGCTCCCAACACACCTGGACTCCAAAAAGGATTTTTTAAAAACCTGTGGTTGGCCTGGATTCCTAAAGCAACTGTGTGTATGATAATGTTTTTGGTACATGGGTAACAAGGTAATAGTGATATTCACCCCAAGAACTAAGAAATTGTACCTCAAAGAGTTAAACTAGAAAATTAGCACAGTTAGAACGAGATATGCAAAATCACCTCCCAGAAACAGAGTGGGCCCCAGGCCAGCAGGATGAAGGCTAACCTCAATGAAGACATTAACGTATCTAGAGAAAAAATACTTTGGCCACAAGAAAGCTGACCAGCATGGAAACATAAAAAAGGGAACCACACAACCACTGGGTACAATGTGATCTAAGCCCTCTCCAAGGTCGTGCCAATGATCAAATACTCTGGAATCTGTAGCAGCTTCCTATCACCTTGAGGACAAACCCCCACACTCCTCACATGACCCATGAAACCCTATGTGATTGAGCCCCAACACATTTCATCCCCCACCTCTCTCCAACTCGCGCAGTTCCACTCTGGTCCTGGCCTTCTTTCTGTTTTTACAATGACTAGTCTCTTGGCCTGGGATTCTCTTTTCCCCGACTTTCCCTCATTTCATTGCTTAAATTTAATTCAGTCTTCCCTAGCTACCTTATCTAAAATCCATCCAACAAAGAGTCAGAGCCAGGCAATGTGTTTGTAACTTGTGAAACAGCTGGACATTTTTTTGAGATCTGAAAAAGTTAAATACACACACACACACACACACACACACACACAGGCAAAAGCCAACAAATACCGTGCCAGAAAAAGCTGGTTTAAAAGCTGAAAGAGAGGTACACTCTGCACAACATAAAGCTGGTGAAATATTTGGTCTCAGCAGATTGCAATGCTGCAGTAATATTTCCTGAACAAGGAAGAAAGCAATCCAGGAGAAACTTATTTATTGGAGCAAGGTTTCATAGCCATGAATCTGGCTTATAAAGCAAGTGAATACTTTTAGAATACCAATCCATTCTGTCTTTTAGGTGTATTTAGTAAAGTATTTAAATTGTTTTTCCCCTAACCCCTTCTATTCTGAGACCTTGATCTTAGCAACTGAGGTTTATGAAATCATAGATCTTTAAGGATAGAAAGCAATAACACTGTTTCATTCTCATTTGGTAAAAGCATCCCAAATGGAAGATGGAGATATCAGACTGTCCCATGATGTCACTATACTCTCAAATCCATTAAACAGCCTTTGCTCTGATTTTATTCCCACCAGGCAAAGTTCTTATTATAATTTGGCTTTTTATGTAGGTCTGCTAGGAAATGAAAAAACTAGAAATGTGAACATAAGCTTTCTGTCTCCCTGTGTCAATTGTATGTCTGACTGTTCATCAATATATAGGACAAATGACTATTAACTTGTGCTTTCATGTATGTGTGTGTCTTTAGACTGCAGCAAGAGGCTTCCTTGAGGGACTTGATGGGACTGGGAGGGAAGAGTCTCTAGGTCTTTTTTTTAAACTTTTGTTTTACATTCAGGAGTGCAAGTGCAGGTTTGTTACGTAAGCAAACTTGCGTCATGGGGCTTTGTTGTATAGATTATTTCATCACCCAGATATTACGCCTAGCACCCATTAGGTATTCTTCCTGATCCTCTCTTTCCTCCCACCCCACCCCCATCATTCAATAGACCCCAGTGTGTGTTTTTCCCCTCTATGTGTCCATGTGTTCTCATCATTTAGCTCCCACTGATAAGTGAGAACATGCGGTATTTGGTGCTCTGTTGCTGTGTTAGTTTGCTAAGGATCATGGTCTCTGGCACCATCCATGTCCCTGCAAAAGACATGATCTCGTTTTTTTTATGGCTGCATAGTATTCCATGGTGTATATGTACCACCTTTTCTTTATTCAGTCTATAACTGACAGGCATTTAGGTTGATTCCATCCATGTCTCTGTTATTGTGGACAGTTCTGTATCTGTAAAGAACTTAAATTTACAAGAAACAAAAACAACCCCATAAAAAAAATGGGCAAAAGTCTCTAGGTCTTTACATCAGAGAAGAATAGAAGGAGAAAATAGGATAAGAGTTTTTGGTTACCAACTTCTAGGCCCTTCCTAATAAACATGTGATGCTAATGTGGGGGAAACGTGAAGCATGTAGTGTATGTGTGTTTGTTCGCGCATCCGCATGTGTGTTGCTGTTCCAGAATTTTCTTTGTTAAGCCAGAAGTGAGGGAATAAATGTGGCAGGGTTTCTAGAGGATCTCTTGAGACCTGGTGAAAGAAAAGGGCAACCCATGTGCCAGCATGGTGTCTTTAAAGGAGTGAGGTTTTGGAGAAGAATGGCCCTCTGAGAGCCAGAGGCTTAGGAGCCAAAGTCCAGGACACATGTGGTCAAACTTGGCACAGGGGAACAAAGCTATCCTCCTTTAAAGGACCGTGAGAGTCTGAACAGGGAACTGGATAAGTAAAAGTATTCAGAGGGAGAACCATGAGTCAATTCTAATAATTTAAACATCAAAAATGGGTGGTGACATAAGCCTCATGAGAATGTAGAGACCTTTACACCTGCTACAAAAGAACTGAAATCTCAGGTACCCTTCTCTGACCTCAGTCAGCATGTGGACAAACCAGGATCTGATTCTGCCTGGTGCAAGACCAACACCGAGAGGTCATTTTGCTAACTGCTGCCCAGCCTCTGGGAATAACACTCAACCACTCTGAAGTCTTTTCTTTGAAACTTCAAACGAACTGAAGACCAGAGCCAGTCCTAGAACTTACACAAATAAATACAGTTTCTAGGAGTATCTTCCAAAATGTGCTCCCTATTTCCT